AGAGACCAGGCTGCCGCCCGACAGGCCGAGCGCGAAGCGGCCACGGTTCCCTTCCAGGCAGCTCGCGGCCCGCTGCGCTACCAGCTGCGCCAGCGACGCGCCCAACTCCTGCGGGCTGGAAAAGACCGAGATGAGACCAGGCGCGGACGCGGCCATGGCTGCAGCGGGGAAGCGGCGGCGTTCCTGGCGGGCGCTCGCCAATGCGCCTGCGCGATAGCCGAACTACCCTGGGTCCCAGAGCTTTTAGTCGGGGCGCTTGACGCATGCGCAGAATCGCCCGGGCCGGGCGAGCTGTTCCTGGAACCCCAGTGCACGCCGGGCTCTGGGATAGTGGGCAGGGCACGATTGTCCTTCCCCGGTTGGAGTGCGCGGTGACTGGCGGCAGCTGCACCCCGAGGGTGTAGCGGTTGTCCGCGGTGCCGTGGGCCGCACAGAGTGAGCCAACTTCAGCATCACAAAGTCGCACCTGCACTCAGGTGACAGGGACAGGAGGCTGGCTGTGAGTTCGATGCCAGGTTGGGCTAAGGAGTGGCATCCTATTACATACATCCGCATGCCTGCCCGACTCTCCCTGCTTTCCGGTCCTGGCCAGACTCGCCTTTCTGGTTACCGAGCAGGTGCTGCGGTTTGTAAGGCCCTCAGCCCACAGCTGTCCGCCGAAGAGAGAACTCAGCAGGACAACCGCTGCGCGACAGTTGAACATCCTGTTGCTTTTGGATGTGAAACTGCCCCCACTCGTGCACGTGAACAGGTGTCTCCCAGCTGCCCGTTCTATTTTGGGAAAATACGGAAACCTTTGGGACTGTTAAGATCATTGCCCAAGTAGATCAGCCAGGGTGTGAACCTTGGAGGTGACCACAGCTGCATCCACCAGGAAGACCCACATAACCCTTCTCTATCCCCCCGCATTTCCTCTATTTTTGCTTTTTATGTGTACATGGGTGTTTCGCCACTGTAGCACATGCTTGCAGAGGCCAGGAAAGGGCATGGGATACCCCAGACTGAGTTTGATCTGTGAACCTCAGTGGTGGGAAGCTAACTGTCCTCCAGAAGCTGATCACTGATCTTAAGCACTGAGCCTAGCAACCAGAGGAGTGCCTGGTGCTGTATGAGCCTGACTCTGCTGAACTCGGGAAACCCTCAATCCAGGGGCTCATGCATCTTGAGCCCAGGCTGGACCACTTGGGTGTATCCCATACCCAAACCTACAGCTTTCTGAATGCCAGTGTGAAGATACAAGTGGCAGGTTACACTCCACAAAACATTGCAAGTAAATGTTTTTCGTTTTGGTTTGGTTTCCCAAGACAAGATTTCGCTGCGTGGACCTGGCTGTCCTAGAACTTGGTATATAGACCAGGCTGGCCACGAACTGGCAGAGATCCACCTGCCTCTGCCTCCTGAGTACTGGGACTAAAAGCATGAATTCCACTCCTGGTGTGTAAGTACATTTTAAAAATATTTAGGCCAGATGCGGTTACGCACAACTCTAATCCCAGCACTGAGGAAACAGAGGTTATCAGGTCTCTGAATTCGAGGCCAGCCTGGTCTTCATAGTGAGTTGCAGGCCAGCCAGGAATACATAATGAGAACCTGCCCTGATGGAGGTTGAGGGGTTTTTAGATCGTTCAAAATGACTCAGTAAGTAAAGACACCCTAAAGCCCGACAACCTGAGCTCAGTTATTCACAGAAGTGAACGAGACAAATTCAAGCGTCTACACTTACTTCCAAACCACATGTCATCACATCAGTTTGTGTTCACAGGGGTTTGCACCACAAATCATTGATGTTTGTACCAAAATTTTGAAATTTTCAAAATCCTAAATCTAAGCTGGTTTTGGTCTCATAGATTCTAGAGAAAAGATCTCCCGACTGCATGGTCTTGGTGACATCATGGAATGCCCATATAAAAGCATCAGAAGTGCTAAAAGGAATCCTGTCTTCCAGCATCACTGTGATGGCTGTGGTGCCAACTCACTGAGAAGCTGAGGCAGGAGAATTGTCTAGTTCCACAATAGCCTGGATAGTACCTAGACATGGCTCAGAAGCAAGACGAAGGGGCTTAAGAATCCCCCAGTGAGAGCCTGGGGGCACGGTCTAGCCAGGCTACTGCTTTGTGATAAAGATGTACCAGGGTTCCATTCTGGGAGATGCAAAAGCAATGGCGAGGAGGAGGAAGAGATAGTGTGCCAAGAAACCCTCAGCGTGAATCACATGGATTGGCTCACAGGCCTGCCCCCTCCACGAGAGTTAATAATGGGTGCCTCTCAAGGGGGAAGGGCAATTAGCTATTTTTCTAATTTAAAATTGAGGCTTTAAAAAAATTATTGGCGTCCATGTTTTCTTCTGGCTGCTTTAAAGTAGGATGTTATTGTGGAGTCAGGGTTGCCAGACTTTCCACCCTAATGTCTGTCTCCCAAGGGCTGTGAGGACACGTGTTCTTGCTCAGCTGGCTATCCCTTCACTGTGCAGCCTGGCTGGCTGGAAGTGGATGCTTCTAGAACACAGGTCCAAACAATGTCATTTATTGAGACAACAGACACACCCTTGGGCCTTTTCCTTGCTAGCTTTGCCTGGTGTCAGCTTCACTGCTGCTGTGTCAGGTATAGAGGGGAACAGTGCACATCCCAGGGCTGGGCTCCTTGTCAGCAGGCCCTGTCCTCCACCACTTTGGTACTTCCTGGTACTCACAGGCAGATGCATCATCCTGCCCTGGGGCATCAAGATCCAGGGATGGGGCATCCTTGGGAGCTAGAGGGAAACAGACTGAATGCCTGCTTGGTACACCTTCTGGGAGCTCCCTTGGTCTGTAAATGCTGACCTGGAGGCCAGGGTCCTGTTTCTGTCAGAATGGCTTCCCCCAATTCATGCATTTTAACCCACGAAGCCTTGCTAATGATATTAAAAAGGTAGAGATGGGGCCTTTGAGATGCCTTAGCCAGTAAACATGCTTACCACCAAGCCTGAACCTAAGTTCCATCCCCAGGAACCACACAGGGGAAGGAGAAAACTGATACTGTCGTCTGAGCTCCACATGAGCTTTGTAACACACATGCGCACATGGAGAAATTACTCCCATTCATGTTCAAAGATGGGGCATCTGGAAACTAAAATGTGGCAAAGGTATCTGTACTTCCAATGCCCGCTACATAAGCCTTTGCTCTTGCAGTCCTGCCTCAGGACCAAGCCATCAGACTTGTGATGCTCATTCTTGTTTTTTTGGAGACAGGGTCTCTCTGTGTAGCCCTGGCTGTCCTGGAACTCACTCTGTAGACCAGGCTGGCTTCAAACTCAGAGATCCACCTGCCTCTGCCTCTTGAGCACTGGGATTAATGACATGCACCAACATGCGCAACTTTTTCTAATTTTCTTAAGATTGTGCTGGCTAGTTTTTGTGTCAACTTGGCACAAGCCACAATCATTGGGGGAGGGGACCTCATTGAGAAAATGCCCCAGAGATTGTCTGATGATTAACTGATGGGGGAGGGCCCAGCTCACTGTGGGAGGTGCCATCTCTGGGCAGGTGGTACTGGGTTCTATAAGAAAACAGACTGAGTATAAACCAGGGGGAGCAAGCCAGTAAGCAGTTCCCCTCCACAGCCTCTGCATCAGTTCCTGTCCCGTTTGAGTTTCTGCCTTGGCTTCCCTCAATGGACTGTGATTCAGGGTGTTTAAGTCAAATGAACCCTTTCTTCCCCAAGTTGCTTTGGTCATGGTGTTCATCACAGCAGCCCTAACTAGGACAGATCCCGTGGGTGCCCTGCTTCAGCTTGCTCAGGTGTGACCTGCAGAAAGCACCTAGGTCTCGAGATAGACCAGAGATGCTGTGCTCTGGCAGGTGACAAGGCTCAGCATGTTTATTTCTTAAATGACATTTGTGTGTGGAGGATTGCGGGCAGCTTGTGGGTGCTGTGCTGTTCACACCCATCATGTAGCAGAAGCCTGGCTTGGTGACTGAGCTGAGTCACCGATGACCCAATGGGGAACATGGGAGCCCGAAGCAACAGGGTCTGGGCTATCCTCACCAGGGAAGCACTTCCAGGACTGCCACCAGGTCTGCCCAAGAGAACACCATAGCAGTCTTCTTGGGTCTCTCCTGATGTGAAATAAGACATCCAAGCTTTGCTAGGGTCAGGGCCCCAAGAGGATACACACCTGGGGACCCCTGAAAAGACACATGTGGGCAGGGCCATCACTAGTCACATCCAAGTAGTCAGAGTCAGTTCCGGAAGCTTCCAGGACATGAGGGAAAGTGGGGGCCTAGGGACAATAGTGCATACATGTTATCCATCTCGGACTGGACTGCAGGGTGGTGCACTCATTAGCAGAGGCAGTAGGATGGCGGTTTTGAGGCCTGCTTGGACTCAACAGTGTCTACTGTCTCAAAACAAAAAAATAAAATTTCCAGTTGACTGGGGGAGGGGGATCAGTGGGGGAGCGTATATGTTGCCCAGCTACCGTGGACTGAGCTACAGACCCTCAGCAGGGAGGGTCAGCTGGATGGGCCCTGCTCCACAGGGAGCTGAGGATAGGTTCCTAAGGCACAATGGCGAGGGAGGTAGGTGCTACAATCTGGACCCCTGGACACTGGTCCCAGTGCAGGACACAGCAGCCAGGATGTGTTGGTTGGGTTCCTGGTGGGTGGGGAGGAGGCCGAATGGATGTACAGTGGGGTGTGGGAAAGAAACACCTGGCTGCTCAGGTTCCAGTTTCTCATGCCCACCAGTGCTGCTGGTCAGGTGGTGCCCAGGGCTCAGGAGTCCTGGCGCATCAGAGTGAGAAGTCTCCAGCACAGATACGGGCATGCACTCCCTCGTCCAGGGGCAGGTAACAGCCCTGCTTCATGTCCAGGAAGAAGAGCCGGTCTGATGTCTGGCGTGGGTCGAAGCCTTCCCGCTGCAGCCGGGTCTTCTGGATCTTGAAGGTGCCTGGGGGAGGGAGGAGAGGAGAGAGCAGAGCTGGGTACCGGAAGCAGCTCCCTGCTATGGACTCCCTGCAGCAACGGACACTCTCCATGGAAGAAAATACCAGCTCAGGCAACAGATGCAGGCCTTCAGCTGTGCTTGTTATGAGGCCTGCTCTAGACTTCGGGATACTTTATGCTGTTGAGTCAGAGCTGAACCACTATATCTGAAGCTGTACCCCCAAATCCAAATATGCCATCTTGAGTTTTTGGGTTTTTTTTATTGTTGATCTTATTTTTTTGGATGCAAGTCAATGCTGGCCTCAAACTCAAGGTGATCCTCCTACCCCAGCCTCTTGAGTACTGGGGTCATGTGGAGGAACAACCACCCATCGGAAAACGGAGTATCTTGTCTACTAAGAAAAGGTCCACCCCCATTACCTGTCTGATGTGGAGAAAGAGAGAAAGAAAGCAAGCAAGCAAGCAAGCAAGCAAGCCGCATGGTGGTGGCACACGCCTTTAATCCCAGCACTGAGGTGACAGAGGCAGGATGATCTCTATGAGTTTGAGGCCAGCCTGGTCTACAGAGCGAGTTTCAGGACAGACTTCTAAAGCTACAGAAAAACCCTGTCTCGAAAAGAATAGAAAAGAAAAGGAAAGGAAAGGAAAGGAAAGGAAAGGAAAGGAAAGGAAAGGAA